AATATCTTATCTGTTATTTTCTCTACCCTAACTCTACATAAGGTTGTTAATTTGACAAACATCATAACCCCCCCCAAAAAAAATCAAAATAAGTTTAAATTACCCTTATTTCTTTCTAGAATGACTTCAAATTGTAACATAAAACTACATTTGTTTATGTAAATTTATACTTACATTTTATTGTTTCATTGCTCTTTGAAGTGTGTATAACTATTTTGCAATTATAAGTTGTAAATCTATTGTCGAATGTGCAGCTCATATTACATTATTAAATTACATTATGCATGACGTACTCATAAGCATACCTCATGAAAATGTTTTATTATATTATTAATATTATATATTTTACCTAATCTAACCTTAACTAACATAAGAAGTTTCCAATTTTTACATTTTTGTTACTTTTATAGTAACAACTAAAGGGTACACATGAAAAACAAGATAAAAAAATACTTTTTTTTTGCTGTCGACCGTGAATGACACTTAACCCTACTTTTTTTTATATATACAAGCGATTGAATGCACTACCCAAACAGTACCAAACAGTATGAAGCCTGGTAGTAAACAAAGATAAGGGACTTAACCAACAGTTTAATCTTGATTGATGCTTTGCAATCTCATATTCTTTTGCTTTTTTATGCCTACTCTTCAATTGAGAGACGAGTGGCTTAACCTTAGCATCAGTTGAATAAGTGACAATTTCCTTGTCACCCGTATGAATGATGTTGAACTTTGCCAAAGCCACTATAGGTATAATTATGAAGTTTGTTTTGGCAACAATGTTTACCAAAGTACTTCTAAAGGAATTCTGAATGCCCCTGTGAACAGTCTGAATTTACCCATGCTATTTGTACTGTGCTACTAAGGTAGTGATACGTTGACAAATTTTAGTCTCTGGTGGGAGGTCCAACCAAATGGCATACTCTTGTGCCAGGTAGATTATTATTTGAGCTGGAATCTAAACCACAATAATCATGAATACCAGTAGCATAACTGGCTTCAATTGGAGCTTTCCGTTTAGAGTTCTGTGCAATTTATAAGAAACAGGAGCAGCACTCACATCAAGGTTATCCTGAACTTCATCAGCATCTCTCGAAACTAAAGATTCAATTGCACCATCATCAACATCATTCTGATATTCCTTAGCATCACTACAATCCTGAAATTCAATCTCATTGACCTCATAATCATTACATTTTCCTATTTCTCTTGTTCATAGTGCAATCGGTGCTTCACTTGCAACTGGTTATTTACTCCCCACATTTATGAGGTAACTTTGTCTTTTGTGACAAACCATCACAAAAACTGCATTTTACCCAAAAAGCCCATTTAGGATGCTTGCATTTACAAGTTAACTTCCCTAAGACTTTATCTGGCTGATGAGGGTTTGTCACTGGTCTAAATAGTGTGTCAAACACATCGTTTTTGACCAATCAAAATGCTCACAAATTTCCATAACAGTACAACAAATGTCACAATAGGGTGATTTTTTTGTCACCAAAAAAAACGTCCTCCTGGCTCATGATGTGGGTGTTAATACTACTTAAACTTTATATACTATTAAAATAAGGATTACTAGCTATATTTATTGGTATACCATGAAAAGAAAGTAGTTTAATTAGATTTTGAATGTAATTCACTATAACCTTGTGACATGCACAGAAAAAGATGCTTGTGAAGAGAGAGGATTAACAGTTTAAGCTTAGATAACTATTTTTTTGGTTTCTTAAAGTTTTACAGTTTTGTTTTTTAATATTCACACCAAATTTGAAATTATGTACTACATACCTAACTGGAGAGTCGGTTTCATGGGGAATCTGTGCTTATTAAACTTAAATTCCTTTTTGGTTATGATACATTTAATATTAACTTCTAATCAAAGTAATAAGCATAGCTACTTATATATAATGTACAATCTATATAACTTATCATGATTAGAATTGTTTCATCAGTAGGATAATCTTGTTGTTAATAATATTTTCAACCATTTATTTATTTATTGAAATTCACACACACAGCTACTCAAGAGATAATTTGGAATTGACAGACTAGAGGAAAACAGTTAGTCTAAACCACTCAGCGACAACTCTTTCATTACTCAATGCATATAATGGGATTTGACCATTATAGTGTGAGTCAATGAATTTCTTTCAAAAACCGTATTTTAATATATCATTTTTTAACTATAAATATATTTTCATACTTTACATCATATATTTAGGACAATAATACATGTATTACAAAAATCTAAGATGAAATCAGTGTAAACCTGTAACAAAAACCTTCATATTTTAGCATTTTAATTTAAATTAGAAAATGAAAACAATTTTAATAATCATAATTTACATATAATTAGTTTAAAAACAACATTATTATGCTTAGTTAAAGCTGCCTCCTTTGAGATCACTGCATTGAATTTTCTAACATTTTATATAACTCAAAGTTTTCATCAGTTATCAAAACAAAACACTAAATACTAACCTTAACAAGTTATAAATTTTTCATATACCATTCTTGTCCCTCAAATTATTAATGGTTTATTCTTAATATTCATTTCCACAAACTACATCATATCAAATACTCTTGTCTTTTTGTTAGTTGCAGCATTCAGTACAAAGAACTAACCAAGGAAACTGGTAAAATCACTCATTTACCTATGTAAAATAGACAGGTGGCCCTAACAATAATTAATAGAATTAATTATCACATTAATGTTATTTACATTGTTTTGTCAGGGGCCATATAAACCACAAAGTCATGGATTCACATGCAATTTCATACACTAATAGTTTAGATAACTGTGTTTAAAACCTATCTTTATGGACATCATTGTTAATTCTAGAGTTAAAAAGTTTTGTTATTTCCAATTCCAAGTCTAAACTCTGAGAGTTTAATTTGTGACTTAAATATAATGATAAGACTTTTATTTTTGGCACAGTTTCTACATGTATATATCTCTATTTCTAGGCATACATGTATGTACCAGATTTGTGGGTGTATATTTATGCTGTATGCAGGATAAGATACTAAATAACTTCAGAATTCAAAAGAATAGGATGTTAAACTACACTTTAGGAATCAGCAGAATAAGATATTAAATTACACTTTAGGATTCAGCAAAATAAGATATCAAATTATACTTTAGGATTCAGCAGGATATGATGCTAAATAACACTTCAGGATTCAGAAGAATAGGATAGGATGTTAAATTACACTTTAGGATTCAGCAGGATATGATGTAAATGACACTTCAGGATTCAGAAGAATAGGATAGGATGTTAAATTACACTTTAGGATTCAGCAGGATATGATGTAAATGACACTTCATGATTCAGCAGGATAGAATGCTAAATAACACTTCAGGATTCAGAAAAATAGGATAGGATGTTAAATTACACTTTAGGATTAAGCAGGGTAAGATGCTAAATGATACTTCAAGATTAAGCGAGATAGAATGCTAAATGATATTTCAGGACTCAATAGGATAGGATGTTAAATTACACTTTAGGATTCAGCAGGATGTGATGTTACATGACATTTCAGGATTCGGCAGGATAACATGCTCAATGACATTTCAGGATTCGGCAGGATAGGATGCTCAATGACATTTCAGGATTTAGCAGGATAGGATGGTAAATGACACTTCAGAATTCAACAAGATAGGATGCTAAAATGATACTTCACTATTCATCAATAGAACATATTAAACGACACTTCAGGATTCAACTGGATGCAATGTTAGATAACACTCCAGGTTTCAGCAAGATAAAGACGGAAATGACAAGTGTTGACAATACTAAAGAATCTTCAATATGAAGTACTTCTGGATTTCGCAGAACAGAAGTTTGGATGGTTCAAAAACCATTAAAAGTATTAAAGAACCTTTGGTTCATAAAGGATAGATACAGAATGTTAAAGATATTATATGACAGAGTTTTGGGTCACAATACTTCAGATTTATGCACCACAGGAAGATAACCAATAACATAAATAATATCTAAAATGATATTGGAGTAATAAAGTAAATGATAGTAATTAGGTTAAAAAAAATATACCTTAAGATGAAACATTACTAAATTTAGCATCCTCAATAGAGCATATTAAACGACACTTCAGGATTCAACAGGATGTGATGTTAGATAACACTTAAGAGGATTTTAGTGCAAGTGGTGAACAACATATTTGACACTAATGATGTTCCAATATTGTTACAAAACATAATTCCTGCAGGTAACTGAGAAATACATCACAAAACAACCTTATTACCCACAACCTTTCTTACAAAAAGGTCACACCTATTTAATGACCCATGAAATCAAAATAAAGAACTGTCTCAATTGGGGATGACAAATTATTAGCTGCTAACAAGTAAACATATCATGGGACTAGCATAACGATGTGTTTGTTGGTTTCTCATTCTCATATCCAAAACTATTATGATGATACACCTGAATGAAAGACAGGTAGAACAATAAACATATGTATGTTTAGGTACAGCATGTAATTAACACAACACAAAGAAGTGTGCAAGCTTTAGATTAGATTATGGTACACATTGGACCAACACTGTAAGAATAATTCATTATCCATTACCACACTTACTGTTTAATGTCTCACAATGGCCAAGTATTCTAAAGCTTTACATGCTGACCTTATCAACACTGCCAAACAAGGGAAAATTAATCATCTCCTATTTCCTCACAGGATATATGTGAATCTCACATTAGATAATTTTCATAACTAAAAACAGAAAACTCTTATTTCTGATCATAACTGAGTACTAAAGTTTCAACAGTTCAGGAGAAGGATGTTAGATGACACAGATAAAACTATGTCATCCATAACTATAGAAGTGAAAAATAAAACAGAATACAGAAGGATTGGAAGAAACAAATGCAGGATATGGGCATGCAAAGCAGAATAATGAAGCCATAAAGAGTGGGTGAGGAAACACTGGTAAGTATGCATTTCCTTCAAAAATATTTCAATACTGATCTTACTTTCTTTCATTCTGAAGTCCATCTTTCCGTTTTTTCATTTCATAATATGTTTTATTCTGGTTGTCAATGCTGACCCGATGGTTCTCAAGTTCTTTGGTGAGCTCCTAAAGTTTGGTCAGTTCATAAAACATTTCAAAAGTTAAAATTAAATGGATCTGCTTTAATAAATCACAAATAAAGATGTTCCCAATAAGATTTACAGTATTTCATAATCATTTGTTGTTTGATAATAAAACACACACACAAAGAAGAATGGTCATTGTAAAATTAGTTCAAATATTTACACTGGACTCTTAAGAAAAAATTTAGTTTTGAAAAAGCAAAACTAAATTGAAATTTTGGTAGGAATAGAAGAAGTCAGTGAAGAGTAACTTCTAATACAATAAAAGTAGCTGCAAAATAAAGTTGTATCAAAAAATCAGAAATCAGCAAAGTATAGAAGAAACCTGAAATATATCAATGCAAAACTCAAACTACAAAACACATACCCTTTGCTACATAAATTCCCAAAGAATTATAAAGAATATATCATATCAGGATTTGATGAAAGTTACTTGATCAATATAATGTCATAATGTCCTTTTTTCCTTATAATAATTTTAATAATTTCTTTGAATTTTCAACATTTATCATTCTGTAGCTCCATTTCATTTTATTAATGTCACATGTACTAAGTGAACTACTCACATCAATTTTCTGCTCCAGCATTCCTTTCTTTTCAGCATCTTTGCTAACATCTTCTTGTAGTCTTTCAATCTTTGAAGAAAAAAGTTAAATCAAACATTCATTTATTACTTTCAGATTTGTTACAAAGAATTATTTTTTAAACATACAAGTTTCTAAAACACCAAAACATAGACCAATTTTAATAATCCCTTCAAAGAAATTTCTATTGGAAATGTCTAATTATGCTTAGATTATTAATAGCTTTAGCTGAACTTGACTAGTAAATATCACGCAGGTCTGAGACAAATTAGACGAGTGTTAAATGTTGTTTTAAAAACTAGAAAAACATTTTTATGCAAATTATTTCCTATACAATATAGTGCTAATTACTAACAAGTTACCATTTGAATGTAATAATCTAATAACCTTCACTTACTTCATTTCAGTGCATTAAATTTGTTTAGGAAACATACAGCATTTATAAACACAGAAACTTTTATGTTTGTTCATTGCTGAGCACAACTGATTATCTTTGCTTTGCCCACCACATGAATCAAAATCTGAATTTTAGTGTTATAAGTCCTAAAGAAGGGGAGCCTCCTTTAAATGAAGCTAGAAAAACCCTATGCATACAAGCTTGATCAATTTGACCAGTGTTGTAACCAAGAAACTACACATAACTCTGAATGTATTGTGTGTATCTTCACAAAATTTGGCTAGCTTTTAGTAACATTACAAAATCAACTTTTTCAATCAAGTATTTTTACTAAAGATTTGTCTGTAAACTTACACTTTATCAGTCTGAGTGAAAGGAGATTTTCATGCTAAGAATAAAAATGCTTCTTTTTAACTTACAATTTTCATATTTCATTTGCAAATTCCCCTAGAACCTCCTAAATGAATCTCAAATTTGTTCTGTAAAACTATACCCTTTATCACTTTTCTATACCCTAACACTAACTGTAGTGAAATCATCAATATACAGTGAAATGGAAAACTTAAAAATTCAAACTAAAATCAAAAAATACTTTTTTTTCTATAATGAATGCAGATTGTAATAGAGAATTAAAATTATTTATCCTAAAAGTCTCAACTCCTAAGCTTTTTACATCTACTTCCATTTACTTTTATGGTTTTACTGCTCTTTGACCTCTCAGAATGTGAAAGTAATAAAACCTCAGTAAAAGCTTAGGGTAAATAAATGAATCAACTTACATCACATGACCTCAAACTAAATTATTTCTATGCAAAACCAAAAGTTACTGTTTTTTTTATCATATTACCTAAATATTACAGGCTGAGTTTAAAATAAAAAAAATCTCAGTTTCAGAAACCTGGCATAAAATTATTTCCACAAGGTTGATATACAAACTTTTTTATTTTGAAGTTGTAATAAAAGTATACAGCCATATCATAAAACATTGTTAAAACATAATGTGTACCTTGAAACTCATAAATGTCTAAGTTTTCTTAAAACATGATATTGATTTTTTTTTTCAATAACATATTGCTCAAAATATGGATCTCAAAATATTAATGGTAATTTTTCTACTTTTTATTTAACATAATGAACTGCTAAAATAGTTGAATTACAGATAAATTACTGAAAATGGTATACAGATCAGTTGCCTTCTTTATTATCAATAATAGAACAAAATAAGATACAGTCCAGTTATGAAATTACCAATTCAAACGTTTACATTTTTGCATAACAATTCACCATTATAGTGATTAAACGATAAGAAATAAAAACATGTAAAGCAAGAACTACATCAAAACTGTCTAAAAAAATTAATGATTTTCTTAAATATACAGAACTTATCAGTACATGTAAATAAACATAAACTAGTGATGTTTATCTGCATGTTAGGAAACTATATATAACATAATATATTTAAGAAAAAATAATAAAGTGCACTACCTCTCATCTTCACAAATATGCTCACAGAATAATAAGTTCAGGTATTTTGTGTCCACCCATGTTTGATTTCTTGTATCTCCTAATGTTTTACTATTCTCTTTCTCTACGCTTTCCCAATAGTTAATTTTATGTCAATTTATCATATACAAAATTCAAAATATTCTGTCACAATATAGTCAAAAACTGGTGGTACAAACAAAGTATAGATAATAGTGGGCAGGCATATTGTCATGTTTAACAATCTATTAAAGTGTGCACATTTGATTTATACTACATGCTTTAAATTTCAACCACAATCACTTGAATCACATCAGTCAACCAGATAATTACACTGTCTGATCTGAAAATAATTTGTCAAATTTAAATAACTAGAAAAAAAAATTAATACACATTGTTTAATTATTACTTATAGCTCTCATATTGGACATCCTTATTAGCTTCAATCACTAACATTCTACTTAAAAAGATATACAACTGAGCATTCTTTCCCCATACAAAGTTTAGTTATTCTACCTGTTCTCGTTTGTCCTTTACCGCTCGCTGCAATGACTTAAGTTCTTTCTGAATCCACTTGTCTCTCTCAGCTTTGGATGTAAACTGACTTCCTCGACCTTGTTTGGCATACAGCTCAGTTCTCTTCTGCTCCTTCAAGCTCAACCTGTGACAATTATTCATGATGGTTTATGAAATTCAATTTGTTTATTTTTTTGGCAGTAATATAATTATTTTTTCTAAGAAACTGAAAGTTATAAATCAGAATAAGACAATTTTCCAGTTTAAATAAGCATACAGTGTAGTGCTGTTGATGATTTTTCAACTATTACTTTAATTCCAAATTTATAACTGCTACTTCAAACATATTTCATGTATCAAAAATTTTGCATGATGATGATGGTACTAAAACTATTATTCTTCAAAGTGAAACATAGCAAAATTTTCTACACCTTTTTTCTGCCTTCTTTCCTTTGTATTATTACTTATAGCTGTATATATTAATTCTAGTTTTTGAAGACACATTAAAATGATAATCTTCTATTAGTCGAGTACCTGCGTTTGCTGCATTGTGTCATAAAGTATTATGTTACAACAATTTCACCTACTCTCTTGTGCATTCCTCCTCACGCTTCTTCTGAGCCTCATACTGCGGACGGATTTCATCCAACTGAGTCAGTTTCTGGCCAATAGTGTCCTTTAAGCGTTCTAGTTCTCGTTCAGCACGCTTCCTCGAGCTGTCATCACCTTCCACTTCATCTCTTAAATCCTTGATGGTAAGTTCCAGCCTAGTCTTTTCTTTCAACAAGGAAGCCTGTTCCTGGGCTAAAGCATCCTTCTCTTCTCTAGAACTCTGCAGCTTGTTCTTCACATCTCTCAATTCTTTGCTGAGTTTCTAGTTAGCAACAGAAGACAAATTATTACCATGAACAAAACTAAAATAGCTAAAAATAATAACAATTAGCATATTATCTTTATTTTTTAATCTTGAACCCTGCAAAAGATAAATTTATAATAAATAAAGCACAACAAATTATTAATAGGCAAAAAATAAGTCATTGCTATTCTTATCTTCCAAAACTTTTTTTTTATGATTGATCCTCTTTGTGTTGGAAAAACCTGTAGAACATTATTACAATGCTAGTTTAGCAACATCAAAACCATTTCACGTTGACTAGATACAAACACTCTCTTAATCACCACTTGATATTAAGGTTAAATTTTTCATTCATTTACATAAATGATGTAAGAATCAGCAGATTCATGAGAAACACTTACTTTAATCTGGTCAGCAGCATGCTGAAGACTTTCTCTCAGCTTCTCTGTCACTGAACTGCTACTATCACGTCGAGTTTCCAACTAAAAATAGGAATTTCTTACATTCATAAGCAGCAGATGATAAGCATAAATATCAACTGTTAATTTAATATCTACAACAAAAGCATTTTCTACAGGAATATGTAAAGCTCAATTATCAAAAGTTTATACATGTACATTTACAGGCCTCCTAGCTAACATAACTAAAAAGTAGGACAAAAATAGGCTTCTGTTTTTTCAAGAAAAAAAACTAGGACAAAAGTAGGAGAAAGTACAGTAAAAAATTATTACATGATAATTTGTAGTTAATACCAAAGTCTGTCAATGTGCAATAAATAAATGTAATTTTAAATGTATTATTAGAAAAAACTGACTTTTCCCATAAGTTACGGTTATCCGAACATATAAACAAATTTTCAAACTTTGGTCTCTCTATGTGGTTTTACTAATGAATCAATTTAATGTTGTGCTGCAGTTTGAATAATAATTACTCTTTACTGTTTAACCTCTTTAAATGTGAGCAATAGTGAAATATAATTTCAGACCTCTATGAATTTCATACTATATATTAGAAAAAAAAAAGTACTTTATGATGAACATCCCTCAGATGGAGATGAAGAAATGTAGCTAACAAGCCATATTCAGCCTAACATTCTTGGATCACAAGTTATAATGTTGATCAAACAACACTAACACCAGTACTTTGAAATGTACTTATCACTACAAATGGAAATAACTATCTATAAATAACTTAAACAAAAGATATTTTCAAAACGTATGTGTGTGTTTGTTATAGTAAAGTCACACTGGGCTATCTGCTGTGTCCATTGAGGAGAAATTAACCCTGGGGGACTTCAAAAAGCATTTTTGTATATATACATATATATATATATATATATTTTTTTAAACAAAAGTTAGATAGTGTTCCTTTGCTTGATACAGAGATTATTTATGTTAAAGATTTTCTATAACTACTGTAAAAGATCTTACAGTTAATATATTTCTTAAATTTTTTTGATATCATTTAATACCTTACATATGCATAAACTTAGTATCTGAACAAACATTTTAATTAATATTTGTGAAAGACAGAAAATTACACCACATGTAGTTAAACTAATGAAATTATTTTCTTTAATTATTAACAACAGATCTAAAACAATTTAAAAGGTGAAAAATAAAGTTCAGTGCATGGGAAAAATTACAACAACTGTGAAAATATAATTTACTTCTTCAAGTTTCTTCCTTGTATCCTTCAGCTCATGATCATAAATTGTATATTCAAGGGATCTAGAGAAAAAGCAATGATAATAATAATTATATCCAATAGCCTGACCCATTTTTTTCTCAAATGAATATAGAGTAGCTTGAAAGTTAAAATTTCAATAAGTGAGAAAAACAAAAAAAAAATTATAAAATGATACTGCTTATTTTCAACATTTTTAAAGTCAAATTTTTATACAAACAATATGTGTATACAGGTTGCACTCTCTGTACTTTTCCCCACTCAACTTCCTTTTTGAGTAACTTTCAAATTTTTAAATACTTTTCACTCAATTTTTTATGGATGCAGCCTGTACATTTTTCATTAAAGGACACATACAAACCAGTTCCAAATGAATACACTATTTAATATAGCACAGCACTGAAGCTAAAGAGCTTAGTCAAGTAATTATTAGTTATAAATCATACAAGATTAGCCTCATGTTAAAGAAATGGTCTGATATTTAACTCTTTTAGTTAGTAGTATTCAACTCATTATCATAAAGTTACTTCCACAGTTACACTGACTTCTGTGCTTTGAAAATGAATTCTTGTGACAATAGTGTTGAAGTCGCTCTTAAAAGTTACCTCCAAAATTATACTGACTTCTATGGGCTAATAATTAACTCTTTATACAGTGTGTTCAACTCATTGCCATACAGTTACGTTGACTTCTTCATCATGAAGAAATAATGAAATTCATTAGAATGTGAGGTTTTACATGTAAAATAATGCTGTCTTTTGACTTAAAAGTAAGAACGTGAGGTATGTAAGAGGAAAAACTTATCCAACTGGAAAATCCAACCACCCAAGCTGACTGTGGAAGAAGCATATGAGTATGTTATGACCTCCTCCATTTGGAAGAAATTAACCGCATCTCCCCAGGTATTCGTTACTGCACATGACACAAGGTTTTAGTGTCTTACATTTAAAAGTTAAACTACTTTTTGTTTATCTTATACGAATTAGAATAGCATGAAATCTTAGCTAATAATCCATATTTTATTAGTATACAAGTTTTAAGTTCTTAATTCTATAAGTCAATATTTAAAAACTCCTGAATTTCTACAAGTGTTACCCACGTTACACATTTTCTCTTAGCATGTCATCATCCCTATTTTATCCATCACCCCTCAAAAATGTATGAAATTAAATATAAATTACTCTCTATAAAGTCATTATTGCTCAGACAAACTGTAATTTTTATAGTTTTCAATTTTGTTTGGTTACAGAGCTATCAAATAGAAAATCAGATCCCTCTTGCCACACCCACTTGTCACATCCTCTCTTTCACAATTCGTTGATAGTTCTCTTTTACATTTCATTATACATTACCTATAACCAATAGAAAGTCAAGGTTTTCATCTATCAAATGATGTGTTGTTTAACACTGTATTCTGAACAGAATATCGTCAATTTCACTGACAGTACAAGATTTGTTCCCATGGGAAAGTTAACAACTAGCTTGGTTAAATTTGTAACAGCTCTTAGATTCTTATCATGCCTGAGTGACTTTATAAGTGTTTTTGCCATTGTTGGTACATCCACAGTATGCCATACTTATAAGAACACCACCAGGCCACTCCAAGTCAGGCTGCTAAGTGTGGTCCTACTAGCTCCAAAACTGTGAGAGGAGTTATTTGGACATACACACAGAGTTACAAGCTTAATACAATAAAACGTTTAAAAGTATAAATGATCAACACAACAGTACCAGGCTGGAAAACGTTTAATCAGTAATTTAATCTAAGTCCTGCAACCTTAATATATGAAGAACATAAAAACAATTCCCAATCTTTGGAACATTTCAAGTATTCATAAAAAATCAGACATTAAGTAATAAAAATGAAATGAGTATTTTTTACTGTTTTCTATACATATTCAAGTACTTTTTCTACTATTCCTCTGAACAATTAACAGAGAGGTATATTGTATATCATAAAAAACTCGAATGTTTCATCAACAAATTATTTTAAGGTACTTTTTAACTGCCTCTTACCAAAATATAAAACCCAAACTTACCTCCTCATTTTATCCCACTTCTGGTACTCCTTCAACTCTTCCTTTTCCTCTTCCAAGGTCTGTAGTCTTTCTTCAATGTATTTCAAAAGGTCTTCAATTTTTTCCCTTTTACCTTCAGTCTCTTGCAATATAGTTTTGCTCTCCTCACGACGCTCATCATATACTCTTGTACCAGCAACTTCTCTCAGAAGTTTTAATCTTTGAGAGTCAGGTGCTGTTGCCATCTGATTAATCTTTAACAGAAATTTCAATATGAGATACACTATAATTCACTTACTACATTCCTAATTTTGCTAACTAGCCTGTATTCAAGCTTCAAGTTAATACTCAGTACAACAATCTTTGATATATCTTTAACATTTATAAATTATTTAAACAAATTTAAATCTGCAAGAACCAAAGGAAAATCTTATTGAATTATTATTTTAGAAAATTTTAAGTTCATGTCTTATGAACACAGCAAAAAGCATTACCACAACAACATCCAAGTAAGTTCCTACTACTATGCACAAAAAAAAGAAGTAGACTTTTCATTGCAAAGCAGTTATCTACTGCTTCCTTTTAAAATATTCCAAACCAGGAAATCCACACCATAATCTTCCTTCACATGTAGGTAACTTGTAATCAAGTACAGACAAGAATTTATATCAACAACAAACATGCAATGATGTATCATTTCTTAAATAACTTTTGATCTTTCAAATTACATCAAAAGTAGCACAAGATAGACCTTATCTGTCTTGTTCTCGATAAAATTATAAATGATACAAATTTTTTGCATAGACTGGCAGATGCTGCTAATTTTTTGCTATTCAAAGGATAAAAAGATTTATTTCAGTAATATGACAAAGCACTTAATAAAAACACCTAAGTATACCTCACAAGATTTTAAAAAGGAATGGTATAAATTTAATTATTTTAGCCTACCATAATTGAATAAGACACCTTATAACCAAAATTAAGTGATGCTACAGCAAGTTAACTGTGAAATATCTGTTGTGCTATGTTTCTTTAAAGAATATTTTTACAGGACAAAATGTAACTGTACAGTTTTCAAAAGAAGATATAAGTATTAATCTTTTAACTCTCTCATTATAGGCTTGGTCGATTTGACCTAAGTCTTGATTCTAAATTAACATTTAGTTTCTATACTATCACTTCTAACATTTTATGTATCTTCACAAAATTTTGCAACCTTTCAGTAAGCTAGACAGAGCTTTTATGGCCAAAAAAATCAGAATTTTTATTGCAGTATTTTTATTAAATATTTTTTCCATATCGAGTCAAAGTGTGGACTGCTTCAAGTGCAAAGTGATTTTCATAAGATTAAAAATACTTTTTTTCATCTGAAAATTCTAAAAATTCATTTGTGTAATCTCTAAAACCTCCTAAATAAATTTCAATCATTTTTTTTCAGTAAAACTTTACAATTTATCTGTTTTTTGTTCTACCCTAACTCTATACACAGTTGGTTAATTGACTGACCTCTTAACCACCATAAAAAATAAAACAAATCTTAATTACCCTTTTTTCTTTCTGGTGACTTGAATTTGTAAAAGGAAACTAGACTTATCTATCCTAAATAACTTAAAACTAATAATGATACACATCTGTTTATATGCCAGAGATGAAAGTGTTCCTTTCCTAAAAATCCTGAAAATAATTG